AGGCACCCTGATGTGTGTATATATATATATATATATATATATATATATATATATATACACACACACACACACACACACACACACACACACACACACACACTGAGGGATGAATTTGTGTGGGCAGAGGTACAACTACTTTCGATCACAATTTTGAGAGAAAGCATTCGCTTCACTCTTTTTCAAAGTAAGATTTTCCAAAAAAAGAAAAAAAAAAGGAAATGCTTGGCGAGGTTATTATCAAAGAAGCTCCCGATGATGGGAAGACAAAAGGTACTTTAATACATCCTTCCTGGGGCACATGTTCTCCTAAGCTTCGCTTCTGTTCTTTACTCCTCATTCTCAGTACATGTTCCCCCTGAGGTGCACTTGCTCCTGCACCTGTCAAGCTCAAGGTTTTTCATTCTGTTTTTGTCTTTCTTTTCCGTGGAAAAACCTACAATATATCCCCCTTTACCCCTTGTGTACTGTTCCCGTTACCTCCTGCCTTCCCCACTGCCAGACTTTGTCTGCCCCGCTCTGCTTGGCTGTCTGACTCCAACCACATTTTGGTTAGCTCAGAGTAAAGCCTGCTATTAACAGAAGCCAAGGCGGCCAGATGGCAGCTCAGAGATGGATCATATAAATTCCAAAGGTGTCTGGAGCACCAAATCTTTCTTTTTAATTTACCCTTTCCGCCCCTCATGTTCTAAGGACTTATATATATATATATATATATATATACACACAGTATATACAATGTTCTCTATGTTTATGTGTCAGCAGAAAACTACTGACATTGAGAGAGAACTGCGACTGACAAGTGCGATACGGAGCCATTGTAACTTTGCCCCAGGCTTAATTACCATTTCACTTTGCAAAGACTTTCTTCTTTCAACACAATATTGCTTCTAATTGGGCTCCATTATTTTCCATCGAGAAACCTCTTCCCCTTGGGGAGTGAGGAAGAGCACACCTGCATGTAAAAGGAGAATTACAGATCCTTGCTATTCATCAGTGCTGATGAATTTCTCTTGCGTGCTCCCCTCTGGGATTTGGCAATGTTTTGGTACCAGGGCTGTCTTGCTTAGTGATGTGTCATTTTTTGACAGGGGATAAAGAGAGCAGGCGTGGAGCGTTAAAAATGAAATTGGTCACGTCTACAGTCGCTCCAGACAACAAATGCAGGCGCACAACCAAGGTGATGCCTGTGTGTCGCAAAGCATCTGACAGCAATTTTGTTCCACATTGAAAATGGAACTGTGACACGTGCATATATATATATATATATATATATATATATATACACATACACACATGGGCGTGTATATACACAAAGATAGGTATGCAATTTTAAAGGTGAATAAGATTTAAATTGTATTACAGTACTCAATAACAGTCTGATAAAATATTGACAATTTTGCTCCCTCTACACTCGAGCATTCAAACCTTGATGACATCATTACAGTTTTATACTTAGAGGCAATTCATGAGTTAAATATTGTGACACGACTTTTTAAAAACTTTTTTTTCCTGTCTTTGCTGAGTTGTATTTTATTGAAGCAATCAAGGTGGAATATTACCAAATAGATAAAACTTTTACTGTAGATTTTTTTCAGGAAATAAAGTGGAATCTCATTTTTTTCTGATTAAAATAAATCTGAAGAATAAAGTTGTATCTCTTTGGAGGGGCGTAATATGAGAAAGTTAGATATTTGTAGTGAGAAAAATAAAAGTTTCATATTGCCTGAATAAATATTTTGAAGAAAGCCGTATTCCTTCCCGGAAACCCGTTTTTAATTTTATTCCAGGTTGACTCCAGGGTTTGTCCAAGTTGTGGTATCGGGATCTCGAGTGGTGTTCGGGCTCACTCTCGTGGCACTTGAAAGAATTCCCGCTCACCAATCACCGCCTCTGAACTTTCAAAGGCATCCCTCAGTCAGTCTGGGGGGGGGGGGGGCGCCTGGCAAG